GTGAGTCCGGCCAGGCTCCCCCGCCCCGCGCGGCTCCCTCCCGTGCATCCCCCGCCCCCGCCCAGTGCGCTCCTGCTCCATGCTACCTCCGCCGCGGACCTCAGACTCAGCCCTCTGCGCCTCCCATCCCGCAACCCAGCGTCGCTGGATCTGCGGGCGGGGGATAAGGCAGCAGCAATGTTGTTTTTCAGGCGCCTCCATTTGCTTCTGTTCGTTTCCTCCCAAGCTGAGCCCCGGTTTTCTGGATGAGCAGGAGACGGGGTCGGGCCCTGCAGAGAGCCCGCCAAGGGGAAGACAGCGGGAGGCCGGCCTGGAAGGATGAGGAGCGGCCGCGGAGACTAACGCCGCCGCAGGAGGGGTTTGAGTTGGACGCTGGGAAGGAGCCCCAGGCTGCGAGGTGAGGAGCCGGGAGCTGGTTACGCTGGGAGAGCGCGCGCGGGTCGGGAGAGAAGCGGGAGAGAAGGCAGCGAGGGAAAGCTCGCCCTTCCCGGGGCGTGAAATGCCCTCCCCTTTCCTATGCGCGGATCCCGCGCGGCCCCTCCTCCGCCAGCCGCGCTGAGCTCGCCCCGCCCGCCCTTCGGGAATCCAGCACCTACGTTCGTTCATTCATCAGGCAGCCCTCCTGAGCCTCCTACACGCCAGGTGCCTGGGTGACAAAGAGAAACGCCGCCTCCTGGTTAGGAAGGGCCGCGGCGGACAGAGTGCAAAGGATGGGCCCGGGGTCCCCTAGCTTGGGGCGGACCTGAGGAACCCAGACGCCCTGCAGGTGTGGGCTGCCGCGCAGGGTCGGTAGGGCCAGGAGGGATTAGAAGGGCTGAGACTGGGTTCCAGGTGCCGGAGCAGACACGGAAAGAACTCCACCGTGGGGCCCAGCCAGACTGCGAGACCTTTCCTGCCAGTGTGTGTTTTATGGAGAAAGAATGGGTGGACACGGGTTTTCCTGACTGCTGTTTGGTGGCTTTGTGGCTCCTCCAGCCTCCCTTGCCTTTCTGTGAAACAGTGAGGCCTGCATTCCACACGGGGCCCTTGGGGACCACTGAGCTGTTGGAAGTTCCGGCTGGTCTGGGGCGCCTCGTACAGTAGGGGTTGGAAGGCCAGCGACAGTGTCCAGGGGTCTCAGGCCTGAGTGGGGCGAGGGAACTTTGTGCGTTTCTATTTTTCCCTTGCTTTCTTTGGGTCCCGAAGTCTGTGAGTAGTGGCCGTCACTGTGATGCCGCCCGGTGTCCACTGGGGAGAGGGAGGAGCCCTGGGCCCCACTGTGTTCCTGGGGGCTGTGCTGTCTGTATCCTGCCCCAGGAAGGGCCCTTTGGTGTGTTTGTGGGTGCCGTCAGCATGGTTTGAAGATGATAAGGGTTGAGAAGGCAGGTGGAGGGCAAGGCATCCTTAGTGTAAGTTCACTATACAGACTTTACTGAATGGGGGAGGCTGATCTGACAGTGCTGGTGTTTTCAAATGCGTGGTGTTTTTCTCCAGGAGATTTTAGGTGTGGCTGTCACTTGACGTACCACTTTTTGTGTGGGTATCTCCTCAGTCCTGTGCTTCAGCTCTGTCTCCCAGTGCTGAGGAGCCGGGAGCCCGTTACACTGGGAGAATGCTGACTCCCCTGGGCCAGCTCCGTTCGTCCTGCAGGTCCAGTGTGGAAGGTCGGTCCTGGCCTCCAGCAGGGTGGACTCCCACCTGGATGTGCTCTCAGTACGCCCTCCTGCTTGTATGTCTTTGTCTTTCCAGTGCATGTGTAAAGGTCTCGAGGCCGAGGACGGCGACTTTGGCTCAGAAGCCCCAAGATACCAGCCTGCTTGGCTCATCCTTTTTGGGTCCTCTCTGGGAGGACCTGGCCACCGAAGGTACCACAGAGCCTCAACTCCTCTCTCCTGCATGCAGCCCTGGTGCTCAGAACGCCAGTGTCACGTTGGAAAGCCACCGCTTTTCTCACGGACTCCCTGCCTTGTTTGTCCGGTTGCCCAGTTAGGGGGTCACGTAATGATAACGTTGGGGGTGTACCTTCTCTCTCTCCCTTGCGTAAGGACCCACCACACTGACACTTCTCACAGGTCCCAGTGCTTCTCCCAGGGCTGGTGTCTGGGCCTTGTCACCTTCCCCATCACCACCGCCTGAGCCCACCACAGGAGACCAGAGCATTGAAGCCAGTGATTTCTGTTTGGAAATAGGGTCGTCTTCTGCTGCTGACCCCCATCAAATCCCATCATGCCCACAGCCCTGTGCCCCCGAGTCTTGGCTCCGAAGGAAAGTGAGGAGCCCAGGAAAATGAGGAGCCCGCCAGGAGAGAGCCCTGGTCCCCAGGCGGAGCCTCCCAGCCCTGAGTCCTCCCGCCGTCTCTTCCGCCGGTTCCGCTATCAGGAGGCGGCGGGCCCTCGCGAGGCCCTGCAGCGCCTCTGGGGCTTGTGCCGGGGCTGGCTGCGGCCCGAGCGGCACAGCAAGGAGCAGATCCTGGAGCTGCTGGTGCTGGAGCAGTTCCTGGCCATCCTGCCGCGTGAGATCCAGGGCTGGGTGTGTGCCCAGGAGCCCGAGAGTGGGGAGCAGGCTGTGGCCGCCGTGGAGGCGCTGGAGCGGGAGCCGGGCAGACCTTGGCAGTGGGTGAGCAGAGGGCCGGCTGGGCTGTGGAAGGCCGTGGGGGGATGAAGGGGGAGCAGGGCGCGGAGGGCAGTCTGTGCCCAGGTGATTTGGGGGCCACACACCCCCGGCCAGGGGTTGAAGAACTCTGTCTTAGAGCTTGTGCTTTGTCTGGCCCACATGAGAGTCGATTTCCCAGTAAAGTAGGTTATATTACTCCCTAATGGCTCCAACTGGGGGACGGTTAAGTTGTCCCCCTGTATAGCCCTGTCCAAGGCAGTCAGCTGGAGAGTGGATGATCAGTAGGCCCAGGGTGGGGCTTTGCCCAGTCGGAGCACAATCGCTGGCCCTGGCCTGGGTAGGGACCTCTCCACTGAAGCCTGAAAAGCCCTCTCTGGGACTGCAGCTCAAACACTGTGAAGACCCTGTGGTGATTGACGATGGGGACAGCCCTCCGGACCAGGAGCCCCAGCGGCTGCCAGCAGAGCCCCAGAGCCACCTTGCAAAGAGCCAGGACACTGTGCCTGCGGCCCTGCCTCAGGGCCTCGGACTCCAAAGCAGACCTGGCCAGCTCAGCGGGGACCCAGGTAGGGAGCCTGGGGCATGGGGGAGGGGCCTGCATACGCCACCCAGTTCTCTCCTGCCCTGAGGGGCCAGGTATCATTTTCAGGGTCTGGGTTCCTGCCCCAAGCTATTGAATCAGAACCTCCTGGGGGTGTCTGTTCTTTTCTTGCCAGCCCTCCTGCCAGCTGCCCAGAGTCCAGAGGTTGCACCTTCTGTTCTCTGTGAGTGTGCATCTCTGGGCTTTGTCATCTTTGGGGACAGTCAGGCACTGTTGCTGTCCCAGTAGGGCCTGTGTCAGGAGCCAAGTGTGGCCATGTCCTTCTATCTGCCCAAGTCCCTTTCCCTGGCTTAACACTTCCTGTGCTCAGGCTTGTTGCCAGGCTGCCAGGAAATACAAAAATACTCTTGGAGGGAACAGCATGGTGTCTCAGGGTTTGGGGCTTGAGTGTCACCTCGACATGTCTGAACATCTGTACGAAGTGCATTGGTGGCTACGGGCAGGTAGCTTTGCATCTTCTAGCTGTGACCCGGGCTATGCTCCTAAACTCTGCACACCTCAGGTTCCTGGGCCGCCCGGTAGGCGCGGTCATCTCCCTTGCTGGGCTTTTGAGGGTGAAAGGGTTATACCCATGAAATGCAGAGCAGGGTGTTGGGTCCATGTGATTTCGGTTGAAGTCTTTCTTGTGGGAAGCTGTGCTGCTCTCAGGTTGGGTAAGTGGCCTCTTGGAGTGAGAGTTATTTTGGGTGGACTTACCACGTGGTGCTATTAATACAGGTGGGAAAGGAGCATGTTGGGAGGCCAGCACTGTATTCTTGAGATTCTAAAAGTTGTCCTTGGTGTTGTAATAAGCTTTTCAGTTTTAAATAAATCATATTAAGTTTCTTTATGTGTGAAACTATGTTGACTTCTATATACATCAAACTCTTCAGCCTCTGTTTGCTTAAAAGTAAAGATGGGTGTGTTCGTTTTCAGGGAGTGTCAGAATGAAGTCCTATAGACGGGGAGGCTTAAACCACAGCATGTAGCCTCCCAGTCCTGGAGGCTGGAAGTCCAGGGTCCCGGTGTCTGCTGGTCTCGTTCTCTTGTGGCCTGTGGATGGCCGTCGTCTCCTTGTGTCCTGACGTGGGCATCCCTCTGTGTCTCAATCTCCTTGTGTTCCTGTGAGGACCCCAGTCATTGGATTAGGGTCCACCCTAAAGATCTCTAGTTAACCTAATTGCCTCTTTAAAGATTCTGTCTTCCAATACAGTCCCTTTCTGAGGTCTTGGCAGTTGGAACTTCAACATCTGAATTTGGTGGGGGCACAATTCAGCCTGAACATGACAGATATAAGGGAACCAGCTGCTAGCCCAAATCAGCATTGTGTGTGATTTGGGCTAGCCTAGGGTATTTAGTGGCAGGGATGCCCACAGGAGCTGCAGCAGCCTGAGCTGGTGGTACCGGGTGAAGATTGGAGATAAGCCAGTTACCACTGATGGGCTTTGGAAGAAGGGGCAGCTCCCCCTTTTCACTGAGCAATCCATAAAAGGACTGCACAGGCACCCTGAGGTAGTTCCTGAGAAGACCTTAAACCCCTGGGCGCTTTGTTACTGGAATGAGCCTCCAGTAAAAGTCACATAGTTCCCAACTTCGAAAATCTTCCCCAAAGGTGAAGTCTGTTCAGAAGCTGAAAACTTTCCAAAGTCATTTGCAGGCACCAGGCACCATGGGGAATGGTGGGTGGGGCTGTATAGGTCATCCTCCAGAAGGAAGCAGGTATGAGAGCAGAGGCGAGTCACCTCTCACATCTACACCCACCCAGTCTGAGTTTCCAACAGCAGAACAAGGGAGCCGCCTGCCACCAGGACCCCATGTCCCTGCGGTCTGCTGCTCCAGACCCTCTGTTCTAAGTAGCCACTCCTGTGCCTGCTTTTTGCTGAAAGCTTTGCATTTTGGGTCTGAAAGGGGAGGGACACTAGCTTCTCGTGTTATCTTTGACACTGGTTTAACATGTGACCTGGGGTCAGCTGTCAGGGGATGAGAGTGCAACTTCCCAAGGCTTCTCTGTGAAAGGAGTACCTTTGAAATAGCTTGTTTGCGCATGGCTGTGCCCTGGACTGGCATGTGGCTTGCGAGCAGGGAGGGAGGATTGGGAGGGAAGCCCTGCTCCAGTATTGCCTGCCCCACCCCTGGCCACCCCGCAGGAGAGATGGTGGCCCCAGTACTGCCTGCTGTGTGCGTTCAGTGGCAGTGAGGGCGCTGCACCTTCTACACTGGCGGGTTGACAGTCCTCATGGCCGGCACCTCTACCCTGGGGAGCCCTGACCTTTATGACCATAATTTTGGAGCGTGAGGCTGAGGGCCCTGGACCTATGGAAAGCTTGTCGCCACTTGGTGGCAGGGCACCAGGACCCCAAAGCCCTTGTTAAGGTTCCCCTCATAGTGTCTGAAAGCAGAGTAACTGATCCTGGTGATTGGCCAACAACTGTCCACCTGCATTACCTCGCTACCTTGCAGCCCGCCTCCTGTGGCGAGGAGACCGGCTGTGACCACTGTGAGACACCCTTCCCATCTCTTTCAGCCCCACAGGAGGCACCGCCGCTCCAGGAAGCCAGCTTCAGGGACCCACAGCAGATGACCTCCCTCCAGCCACCCCTGGTGAGTGACCTCCACAAGGGCCCTGGAGACCCCACTCTGCACCTCTGTATGCTGCGGCAGTGTGCCTGGCAGCTTGTGGTGGGCCACATAGGCGTCTCAGCCCCAACCCAGAAAAACTAAGGGAACATCCATCCACTAGTGTATGTGACGCCCATCACTCCTCTTGCCTCAGAGTCCTGGCTGCTCACGTGCTGACTGAGATCTGCTGGCTGTGACATCCTCCTCGGGAGCCTTGTACAGACAGCAGTGGTGGAAACAAACACCAATCTGTCCTCTTGGCATCTTGGTGTCCCTTCCTATGAAAAAAGGGAGACCTCTCTACTCTTTCACTTCACAGACTATTTTTATTTAACAATAATCACAGTGATTGTATTTCAGAAATGTGAGGAAATAGAGGGAAAGACACCAACCACCTCAGCACCATCACATAGCTGTGCACAGGGCTCTTAGGGGATTTCCTGGCACTGTCCCTTCCGTGTCTCTGCACAGGCTTACTTTCTCACATGTTCTCACAGGGCGAGAGCTGGTCATGGGGTGGCAGGTGTCCTCACTCACCTCCTTCCTGCCTAGTCTCAACCTTGGGCCGTGCTTTCTGCCGACACCGCAGCTGTTCTTCCAAGTGGTTTCCACTGTCTGGCAGCAGGCTCAGTTGTCACAGTGTCGTTCTTTTCCTGTGAGTGTGGGGGCCGTGAAAGAGTGGCCCCTGTTTGGCTGCTGGTTCCTGGCAGGGGGAAGACTGAAGCACAGTGGCCATGCAGGTTGCTCTCAGCTATGCATTTAGCGTGACTCTAAACCTGGCAGGGGTGGCCAGCACAAGGGTGGGGCATCCATCCTCTGGGCTACTCAGTGGGATACAGCACGTGTGCTCCAGCATCTGTTGCATACTGTGATAGCTGTAGATAAAATTATCCTAAGGAGGTAAAACTTTCTTACTAAGGACTGATACCTTTGACCTGTGCGAGCCACAGGGGATGTGGACTCCGTGTCTGCTGAGCTTCGGTGTTTGGCCTTGAGAGTCCCTGATTCCTTTAAGTGCTGGAGTGAGCAGAAGGTACAGATTTGATAAGTCAATGCTGTTTTGTCACTCCATCAAAGATCATTTGTGCCCAGTGCACTGACAGTCACCAGCATGAAGGGCTTATTTTTTAGAGTTTTAAAAAAATGTTTACTTTTAATTGTAAGACACACATCATATAACATTTGTGACTCTAACCATTTTTAATGCACAGTAGCGTTTTTAGGTGTTCAGTGATCTAAGCGTATTCACATTGTGCAGCCAGCCCCAGAGCTCTTTCGTCTTCCCAAACTGAAGCTCCCCACGGCCAAGATAGCTGCCCTACCGTCTGCCGCCTTCTCCATTTGCCTGACCTCCCCAGAGGTGCACACAGGTGGGGCCCCACAGTACCTGTCCTTCCCTGACTGGCTTGTTTCCCTCTGTAATGTCCTCATGGCTCCTCCTTGCTGCAACATGTGTCCGTCTCTGGGCTCATTGAGGCTGAACGACCCTCCATGGTGGCATGCAGTCACTGTGCTTGCCTGTCACTCCCTGGCAGACCCTGGGGCTGCTTTTGCTTTCTGGTTGCTGTGAACATGGGTGCACTCACAATTTTTTTAAATCTTTTTTTAGGTAACTAGATTCACATGCAGTTGTAAGAAATAACAGGCCCCTTGTCCCCTTTACACTAAATGGTGCCATCTTGTAGAAATAGAGTGCAGTGTCATCACCAGCATGTCGGCATCCAAATGCATGGGATGCAGAACGCTTGCTTTCAGAACAGTCCTTCGTGCTGCTTTTTGTAGCTGCAGCCACTGCTCTCATCCCCCTGCTTCTTGTTGCCAGCTCAAGAGTGCTCTATAGATGAGTCCATATAGTGTGTCGCCTTTGGGGGTGGACTGTTTTCAGGTGCTGTAATTCTGGAGCTTTGCCCAGGCTTTTTGTGTATCAGTGGTCCATCTCCTGCAGAGGACACCACGGCAGGCTGACCACTCTACTGTCCCAGGAGACCTGGGCTGTTTCCAGTTAGGGCCACTTTATGTAATGCTGCTGCAGGCATTTGCACACAGGTTTTTGTGTGAACACCAGTGTTCTTTTTTCTGCAGACAGATGCCCAGGTATGCACTCGTTGGGTTGTCTGCTAAGTGCATAGTTTACAAGAAACTACTGCATCTTTTTCCAGAGTGATGGTGCCATTTTACATCCCACTACATCCTCCACACCCTAGCCAGCGTTTGGTGTCGCAGTTTTTTATTTTAGCCATTCTGATACGCAGTGATATCTCTTGATGGTTTAAATTTACATTTCTCTAATGGCTAATGAAGTTAGACATCTTTTTGCGTGCTTATCTGCCATCTCTCTATCCTCTTTGTGAAATGTCTCTTCATTACTTTTGGCCATGTTCCAACTGGGCTATTTTGCTTGTTTTACTGTCAAGTTTTGAGATCTATACACTCTGCATACTCGTCCTTTGTCGGGTATATGCTTTATAAATATTTCCTCACATCCTATTCCTTTTACAGGGTCTTTAGCAGAGAAACAGTTTTTAATTTAGATTAAGTCTCCCTTGTCAGTTTTTCCTGTTATGGATTATGCTTTTGGTGTAAAGTTTAAGGACTCTTTGCCTGGTTTTAGATCCTAAAGATTTTTTTCTGTGGTTTTTTTCTAAAGGTTATATAAATATTCACATGTTACATTTAGGTCCAGGATACATTTAAGTCCACCATCTGTGATCTATCTTCATTTAAGTCCATGATCTCTAATGTTTGTATGAGGTAGAGACTTAGGTCACAGTTTTTTTGTTTGTTTTTGCCAGTGGATGTCTAGTTGTTTCAGAACCATTGGCTGAGAAGCTTATGTCCCATTGAATGAATAGCTTCTGCTCCTTTGTCAGAAATCAGTGAGCATGTTTGTGGCTCATCCTGGGTTCTCTGTTTCATTCCATCGATGTCTTTGCTCTTCTGTCCACTTATAGCACAGTTTTGATTATTGAAGCTACGTGTTGGTCTTGGCAGTTGGGTAGACTGATTCTCCCATTTTGTTCTTTTTCAAAATAATTTTAGCTGTTTTAGTTCCTTTGCCTTTCTATATGCAATCCAGAATAATTTTGCCTATATCTTCAAAAAGCCTCACTGAGATTTGGTGGGAATTTTGTGAAGCCTGTGTATCAATTCGAGGGGTGTTGACCTCTTTGTGACCTGAGTCTTTTGGCCTGTGAGTGTGATGTGCCTCTCCCTTCACTTCTGTGATTTTGTTCATTGCTGTTTTGTGGTTCTCAGCACACAAGTTCTGTATGTATTCTATTGGATTTATACCTAAGTACTTCATTTTGGGGGCAATTGCAAACGGAATCATATTTTTTATTTTGATGAGAACATATTCATTTCTAGCATAAGAAACAGATGATTTTTGTTTTGTATTCTGTTTGTTTTGTATTCTGTGACCTTGCTGGATTCATTTATTCGTTTAAGAAGGATTTTTTATGTGTGTGTTTGTTTTTAAATAGAGCCCTGTGGATTTTCTATGTAGACAGTCCTGTCATCAGTAAATAAGGACAGTTTTATGTCTTTCCAGCTTCTGTGCTAGCAGTAGCGAGAGGAGAAATCCTTGCCTTGCTCCCGAGCTTAGGAAGCGGTTATCTGTCCCCATTAAACATGCTGTTAGCGCTTAGTTTTTGTGAATTATTCTTACCAAGTTGAGGAAGTTCCTCAACTCATATTTTTCTGAGAGGTTTTATTGTGTATGGATATTCGGTTTTGTCAAAGCCTTTCTGCTTCAGCTGACAGTGATCCTGTGGGTTTTCTTTGGGCTGTTAATGTGGATTATGTAGATTGATTTTTTTAATATCGAACTAGCCTTGCGTCCCCTGGAGTAAACCCCTTCTTGTCATAGTATAAACATCTCTTTATGTATTGCCAAGTTTTGTTTGCTGTTATTTTGTTCAAGAGGGATGTTGGTCTGTGGTTTTCTTTTTCTTTGTCATCTTTGGCTTTGGTTTCAGGGTAATACCAGGTTCATAAGATGAGTTGAGAAATGTCCCCTCTTCTTATTTTCTACTAGAGATTGTGCAGAATTGGTGTTAATTCTTTGAACATTTGGTAGAATTCTCTAGTGAAGACATGTGACACTTGCAAGGATGGAAAGGAAATGTTGTTTTTGTTGTACATTCAACTTCCTTCATGGTTGTGAGGCTGTTCATACCATTTGCTTCATAGTGGATGAGCTGTGGTGGTCCACGTTTTTCAAGGGATTGGTTCTTTTCACCTTAAGTTGCCAAACAAATTCATGTGCATGGAGTTATTTGTGGTATTCCTTCATCACCCTGTTATCACAGGGTCTGTGGTATCCCTGCTTCATTCCTGATTTTGGAAATGTGTCCTTCTCGATCTCTTTCTTTGTCAAGTCTTGCTAGAAGTTTCAATTTTTTAAATCTTTTCAAGAAGAACTAGCTCATTGTTTCATTTATTTTTTGCTATTTTTGTTTTCAATTTCATTGACTTTTCTTCTCATCTTTATTATTTTCTTCATCCAGCATACTTTGGGTTTATTTTATTATTTTTTATAGGTTCTTGAGGTGGAAGCTTACGTTTTTATCCTGGGACTTTTCCTCTTGTATAAGCATTTCTAACGCAAGCATTTCAGCACTGCTTAAGTACGTCTCACAAACTATAATATGATGCATTTTTGTTTTCATTCATTTTGGTCTATTTTTCATTTCCTTAGAGCCCTCTTTGACCCAAGGATTATTTAGAAGTGTGTTGTTTAATTTCCAAGGCTTGCAGATTTTCCTGTCATCTTTCTGGTATTGATTTCTAGTTTAATTCCATTGTGATCAGAGAACATACTGTTTGATTTCAATTCTTTCTAATTTGTTGGGGGTTTCTCCTCTCTTTCCAGGACTTTGATGGCCTGGTGTCTCGGGATGTGTTCTGTCCTTGTTTGAAAAGAACATATATTCTGTTGTTATTGGGTGAAGCATTCCCTAAATGCTGATTAGACCCTACTG